CCTGGCATATCTGGATTATCATAAAAATATGAAAATTGGGTATGCATATGAACCGAATATTTTTTTTATTATTAAAACAGTATTTTGAAGTTGGATCAATTTTAAATTCGTATTAGTGACGTCAAGCTTTCAATCTCTATATAGTAGAGAGTGAAATTTCATATACTGGCTGTGAGTTACTGCATTCCTGGTAAGCAAAGTTAAACTTCATATCAACTTTATAAGCACTACGTGCACAGAGATGCACCACACTTGCGCATATCTTTATTATTAGCTATAAAATATTTCCAACTTTATCACACTGCATAGATACTACGCCCTTCTTGATACTATTCTGATTATCCAAATATTTTAAATACATGGTCACGAATTACTATATTATATAAAATAACCACACAGAAGATGAAAGGAAAGCCAAAAAAGAACTTACCAAAAATAATGATTAATTATCTTAAAATTATTTTTTACATCCTTTCTTTCACCCACATACTTTTGGTAGTTTATTTTGCTTATTTAATTTTTCATTACACTGTAAACTGCAAGCGAAATTTCAAATATAATGAACAATTTAACGGCTTGATTTAGAGAAAGCGACTACATTATGTTCCGGGGCTTGTAGCTTCGTATTTCGAAAAAAAAGTGTTTGTACAATGTACATGTATCTAATCTTTGCTGTGACTGTGGTTCAGAAAATAATGTTTTTCAATTAATAAAATGTATATAACTATCCCATTTTCATTTTATATTATAGTGTAATGTATATTTTGCATTAATGTAATGTATTAAATATATATACATTAACCATTCATATAATAAAAACTAAAGATCGGCTATTACTAAATTAGTATAAATAGCTTTACATGATTGTCTTAATTGATTAAGTCATGCCTTGGCCATTTTTTTACAACAGTTTTATTTTCTTTCATGATACTAGTCGCAATTAGTTTTCGCTTTTTCACAATAACCACTTTTTAACTATAGTAGAGTTTTATTTTTGTATTGAATCCTTTGTTACTGAGTCGAGGACTGTACCTAATAGACTTAAGTACATATACTACAAAGTAAAGGCCATTTAATGCCATAATATCTCTCAGCCTTTTTAACTTTTTTGTTTATTTCTTGCAGATAAAATTGTTATTTGTCTAGTTACCTTTCAAAATACTCGTAACATATTATTTGTAGAATTTTATTTAAAAGTGTTTTGGAGCTTTTAGTTCCCTAAGCTTACAATTATATACCCCATTTATCGAAATCCACAACCTAAAGGTTTTATCTTTTACTTATCAGTAGCAATGGTGATTTAACTTTATACTTGTATTACTTTATACGTGTATTACTCAACTGTTCTTTCCTATCTCACTCATAAACATTTTGTTAATCAACTTAACTTAGTTTTGGTTACAAAATAGACTCCTTAGTGAAATATACTTCTTTCAAAATGCTTGCGTATCTATGAACAATTGGTTTGAATCTATGAACAATTATTTTCCTTGTTAAAATATTAATAAAAATGATTTCGAAATCCATGTCACTACATATATTCATCTATTAAATCTCTGTAATTTTTAGAATCCTAGTTCAAAATTTGTTTTTCAATGTATTATGTGATATAAAAATAGGTATATATTAATAAATTGGTTTGAAATGATTTAAATATTAATTATTAAATCCATCATCGTGTAAAATCCGTTTTCAAATTAAAGCCAAAAATCATTTAAAATTAATTTCTTCAACTAAAGGGTTGTCATTAGAATAATAATAATAAAAAAAACAACATACCAACCAGTTTCCTCTAAATTATATTTAATTATTTGCGTTTTAACTCAATATACATTGAAAATTTGTGGAATAACATCCAAACGTGTGAGTTGAGTGACAGAAATTTTTAAAAATAAACTTATCTGTCTTTGGTTGTAAAAAATCACAGCAGATTTATGTTTTAAAGCTGACTTACCTATTGACCTGAAACCTGGTTTACCTACTGGTATATGGGTACAATCTAGCTCTTTAAATCTAATTGATGAAATTGATATCTTATATATATTCATGAAGTTGTCGCATTTCGTCTGACTATTATAGTAAATTCTACATCTTTCATATTTTTTTAGGAATCAATCAACTTTGATAAATATATTTTCATAAATTAAAGCGTCAAAAAAACTAACTTTGAGTTCTTATTTAGAGTTCTTCTATTTGTTTTCTTTTATATTAAAGAAGCACTCATTATTTTATTGTATTTAGTCATCTTCATACGAATAGATTGTCCATACAATCGTGTTTTCAAACTCACTAAAGCTATAAATGTCTAATTTTGCGAGGATTTGCCTTGTCCCTAAAAAAACTACTTTACGGATTTTGATGAAAGTTTACCTTAATTTCGTAATGTCTCACGTACATGGACTACTGATATCACGGACAGTTGCTTTCCATATCATATATTATTTTATCGAATATTTCTCATTTCTCTTTGAGACTAATTCTGAAGGTTACGCAAAAGAAATCGTAGACAGAATCTAGTAAACATGTTATTTCTTTATTATTATAACTGTTTATATAAATTAATCTTCATACATAAAATTTTATTTTTGGATTACTTCACTTTAATTTAAACATTTAAAATGATCCACTTGAAGTTCTAGTAAAGGTCAGTCATGCGCATTAGTAATTAAGGTTGATTTTGTTCGTAGGCTACGATTCTCTTTACGTATGCCGCTTTCGATTTCTGAATGCCTAGTACAGATGCGGTTCTAAAGTTCCAGACCTCATCCGCATGCGTTTCTTCTTCACACACACGTTATATTATTTTTGACGGTATTTAGTTAAACATCCAGGTTATGAAATATGTTTGTCAAATATATTTATTTTATTTTGCTTAAGAGATTTGTATTAATGAAAAATAAAACTTGATCATCTATAGTTTAAAGGTTGCAAATAGCTATCTATAAACTACTTGGATATGCAACTTATAGTTAATCTTGTTGTCACTGCTTTTAGCAGAAGTCTTTTTTTAAAGTCCTTATCGAAACTTCTTTACCAATTTTCTAAAAACTAGGAAAATCTTACTTAATTTTGCTACATTTACTTTAATGTTTTTCTCTTTTAATATAGAGCTATCTGATAAGCCAAAATAATGTTACATGTCGCCATCATATTGAGATATTAAATAAAATTTTGTTAATTGTGTTTATTGCCCTCTAAACTTTGTAAGGTATCTTTCAGAATATATTATGGGCTTTTCAGTAAGAAACAACAATGTATTTATTCGCAAAGTTGTCTTATTCCTTCTGTTTATTCATAGAAATGATTTCATTAATCACACAACTAAACAAAACCTACAAAACTAAATACCTTTACATAGGCATCTAACAATCTTTAAATTCAAGTCCTTAGGTGAGGAGACAGTGAGTATGAAGAGTTGGTTTTTTTGTTAAAAAATAAACTGATCTTAATGTACATTTATAATTCTGACATGTATAAATATGTGTATATATTTTGATACAATATAATAATGTATGTTTGGTATGTTCACGAGAAACAGAGAAATTATTAAATATGAAAAATTACAATAATTTTTATGACTCTTCCAGATATAAAAAATAAAAAAGTAAATTATTTGTCATCCTAAAGAAAAATAAACTTTTCAAAACTATTCAATTCCCCTTTTAATACATAATGGGATAGAACAGGCAATTCGCTATTTTTGTACCGAATTGGCTGGATGGCGTTTTTGGCCTTTAGGATCCTAAAGAAGTTGGCCAGATGCCATATGAAAAAATGAAGTAGATATAAAGCTTCCGTGCTGTTCTCATAGTAAGACAATCGTATCTAGGTCTTTATAAGAAAAAAGATTGCTTGTGATTAGACTACTTGTCTTCCTTAGATTCTGCATATAGTATACTAGGTAACACACAATTATTCAACCTTTAACCTGGCTGTGAGATGCTGTCTAGTCTTAATATTATTTAGACGAATAACTACGTAGAGATAATGAATGAGTTGAAACTGATTATCTCGGCCATTTTTCTTTCTCTTGATTGAGATTTTTTTACATAAATTTTCATACCGCGCAGGTGCAACTTTGGTGCTTTTCTGTTCCATTAAATTGTGAAAGATATAAACTTCACCTAATCCGTTAAAGTACCTGTCCATATTTCATGAATTCCTGGTCAGACAAGTCACATCTAGATCAATACCTTCATTATGCATTGAGATGCAATCCGCTTGCGCAGAAACGACCAATTGAATAATTCTTGTAAATAATTCATTAGACCGGGCGCTAGAGGTAAGTGAGTATGCAAAATGTGAGTACCAAATTTCGCCAACGGATTTAAGTGAGGAAAAGGTCAAAGAATAATAATGTGGATCTTGCCGGTCAATTTTTAGGTCCATTTTTTTTTACCCCCTCTTCTCTTATTAATAAAGGGAATGTATTTAGTACATGATATAAAATCGCTTTAATGATTATTTTCGTAATAATTTATAGTATTTTCTCGTGTTATAAGTGAAGATGGATTCTTAAATAATAAAAAAAAAAACAAAAGTTACAGTAATAATTTTTTTTTATTGATAAAAAAATGAAAGTTATAAATGAAAACCAGCTAATTAAAGCATAAATGTAGTTAAAGTAGGTAAAAAATTAATCATTTTTATTTTCACATTTGTTATTGATGCATTTACATAATGAAATACAAAACAATTCCGATTTTTTGCAATTACAAGACATTGTGCGACAATTTGAAGTACATTTACATGGTGGAATTAATGACTCTGGTAAAGACGGCTTCGTCATTTGTTGTGGACGTAAGTCACCATTGAGCTTTTCGTAACCAAATGAACAATAATCAATGGGTGATAATTGTGTTTGATGAGCATTTTTCCATATAAATGTTTGTACTTTAGCCCTTAATAAATGCAAATGCAAAGCATCTGAAGTGCATATCACTCTCATCAAATTGAAATTGAAACCTATATTCTGAGATATCAGTATAAATCTGAGTTCATCAGTAGATAATTTCTTCTTTGAAAATAAATATGTGCAAACTGCTTCTTTTGAATTGCTCGTCATTTAGGTCAAGGTTTCCCAAAGGCATGAGAGCTGTTTGTGAAAAATCTTCAGACGCAGCGTTCAACCATTGCATTTTACTACCAAATCTGCTAGTAGTGTCGCAACCACTCACATCATGTAATGCTGGCAAAATATTGCATATGTTTTCACTCAGGGATTTAGCAGCCAAATGGCATCCTAGAAAGCATTTCTTCGTGTGAGAACCGTCAAACCATAGACCGAGACACCCAATATTTTCTAAGTATTTCCAGAAATAAACTGCCAAGCCGAATACATCTGCATCAGCGCTGATTATAATAATATGAGCAGATTGAATCCTTACTGCGTGAAAAATGTGGACGAACATTCTTGAATCAGCTTCTGAATGGTTTGATTGTAATTCGAGTATCTCACAAATTAGAGATCCTTGTAATTTGAAACATTTAGTTGGATCATCGAATCCCCCACAAATATACAACTCACAGTCTTCTTTTACTTGTGCATATTTTGGAACATTAGCACAAAGAAATCGAACGAGTTTTAATTTATTATGAGTGTTAGTAAGAAAAGCTTTACAATCAGCAGGAATATTTGTTGAATGGTTGGAAATTATGATATTTTGGGTGATCTGGTCTTTACCACGTAATTTCGTCTCCAAAAATTTTATGGAAATATCGTCGTATCTATCAAATATCACATCGATTCTCTTAACGCCGGGCAAAGTAAAAAATTCCATAATTTTTTTGAAGAAAGCCTCGGCAAAATCACCAAAAGTATTGAACTTATTTAACTGAATTTTGTGAACAAGTGCCATACCATCAATAATATAAACTTTGAAAATATTTAAATTTATTAAATCTTGCTGAGAGCTTGTACCACAATCATTTGTTTTTTGAATTTCAACGAGGAGTTGTGATTTTGGTGACTTTCTGTAAAATCCGTCACTGTCAAATAGATACTTACAGTAATTCAATACTTCATACGATGCTAATATCCTTGTATTAAGTCCACGTTGAGAAGCCGTCATGAATGATTTTTGGAAAATTGTTATGTCTGTTACGTCTTGCAATTTTTTGTTGGGAGCATTTTTATTGGATTTCGAAGGAGTGTTTTTAAAGTTGTAAAATTTAGTTTTTTGTATGGTATATAAAAAACGACTTAAAAATGCAACGTATGTACGTCAATAGATGTAGAAACACTCTAAACAAATGAGCGCGCTATGCTTACTGTATGGGCGGAGAGGGGATGTGCAGGGAGCAAGAAGGGACCATAACACCTGGCGGCAAGATGTGTTTTGTCATTATTTAGGGTCTCAGGTATAAGAATCCGGTCACAGTTGCCGTCACTCGGATTTTGCATACTCAACTACCTCTAGCGCCTGGACTACATAACAATTAATGAGAAATTCATTTTCATATCGTTGTATGTCATTGATATCTGTGTACATTCTGTAATCCTAGTAATTGTCTGATTTAACAATTATTTATTTAATAAATTATGTAATTAAATAAATAATTATAAATTAATCAATATATTATATAATTCGTCTGTGAGTGTGTATGTCACTGAACTTCTCTCAAACGACTGGACCGATTATGATGAAATTTTTTGTGTGTATTCAGGGAGGTCTGGGAATTGTTTAGATTCAAAATTTTGTCCGCTGGACAATGTTTTTTCAATTTTTTTTTGACATTAGATTTGACAACTAATATGTCAACCATTCTGTCGCACTTCAAAACACGGAAATTTATGGCTCTAATAGGTAGGCCTTTTTTCATAATGAGATTTTAAAACCCCCAAATAAAATTAATAAAAAAAATAGAAGTTGACAACTTTACTTCTCGTGTACCTATAAAAATGATTTTATAAAATTCAGGTTACAAAATTTATCAAAGATTTAGGCAAAAATTTTGATATGTTGTAATAATTTGGACTGGTACATTTATTGAATATTTTCGAAATTCGGTTAACAATTAATACCATAAAAGCCAGTAATTAGATAAGAGACAATCAAAAAATTATTTTGTATATCCCGCTTCCATTGATACGAAAGTTTAGACATGCGCAGTAGTAACCACTTTATCCCTTACATTTAAGGTTGGTTATCAGTATGTCTTTTTACAGTGACATCCTTCAATGTCTGAGTTCCTAGTACAGATGCGGTTGTAAAGTTCCACGGTGTCCATCCGCGTGTAATCCCGAGGCTGTGTAACTTGGTATTAAAATTGTTCTTCTTTATTTAAAAACCTAAGTATATCATAAGTAAAGAAAAATATATTTAAATAATAAAAACATCTAAATCTTTTAATTTTTTTTAAAGAATATATATATTTTTAATCCATATTATTTCAGAAGAGTGCCAAACCAAATGCCCTTTTAATAAGTTATACAGAGGCTCTTTGCATTACAGGAGCTGCGATTTAAATATTTATTATTATCTATAATTATGTTAACAAACATATATTTTTATATAAAAAAAATCACTGCTTGTAACTTTCATAACTTACTAATATTGTCATACGTCAAAACAGTGGTGACCAAGAAAACAGTGATGACAAGGAATTATTTAATATAGAATTAACCAAAATAAAAATATGACATATTTGTTTTGATTTTTATTTAAAAATTAAAATAAATATATAAACGTTTTAAGTATTTGTTTTATATGTCCATATAAGTGAAAATTGATGTTGCTAAGAGCATGACCTCAAAATGATTAAATATTTAATTTATGTGCTTTAGTGAAAGCTTTTTGTGCTGAAAAGAGAAAATTATTGACGTGGACATTTGTAAATCAATTTTGTTTTTCAATTACAAATAATAATCTAACAGTTAACGTAAATTATCGATGTCAATATTAACAAAAAATGGGCGTTTTTATAGTGCACATATCAAGTTTACTCTGCTTGAATTTAATTTTGACATGTAAAAAATGTTATGTATTATAAAGGTCATGCAACGTAAAACTCTGCAATTTCCACGGCAATATTGCCTACTAGAAAGCGTAAGAATTGGTATGATTATGTTTATAGTTTATTAAATTTTGACAGCACGAAGTTTTTAGGCAGTTAAATAATATTTTAATTAAATTTTAAATTCATACTGATAATAATTAAGTCGTGTCTTTTTTGATATTCGGAATAAAGAGAAAGTAATGATGTGGTGAGTAAATTAAAAGTATCCCAGATGTGAGAAATAGGTATTTTGTTTATGATCTTTGATGTAGCTCAGGGAGAAACTGCGGCTTTTTGTTAATTTTTAATTTTGTTATTCTTAAAAAAGGTATATTTGATAAACTCAAAAAATATCCAATGTATTTTTACTTTAATTTATATAAATTATTATTTTGCTATAATTTATAATTTTAACAATCAGTTCCGCCTTCGTAACCATCTCAATTTGACACTATATTCAAATAAATAATTTTAAATGAACCGCTTTGAGTGTGAATAATTTTTAGGCATGCGCATTAGTGATTCTGTAGTCGGTGCGTGACTTTCCCGTTACTTCCTTCAATTCCTGTATTCCTAATACAGATGCGGATCTAAAAAGCCATGTTTATCCGCATGCGATTTTATAACGTGTGTATTGATTTGTATTTGTTGCAAAAATTGTATTTCACTTTAATTTAACTATTAAATTTATGTACCTTAAATAAAATCTCCTTCATAAAACGTTTATATATACATATAAATATAACAAAATTAAACTATTAAGTATAATTGCATACAATTTACGATTTCTAATAAAATTACTATTAAGCTAATGTTGATTCTTTGTTTCCCAGTAAGATTATCATTCCTTTGTTATTTGCATCTTATCTGTATTATCAACAATTTGAAATAAAACGTTCAATAATAGAGACTGGTTGTTTGATCAAGCTCATTGTTTCTTTATGACAGCGGTAGATAAGTCTCAATCGAAGTGATTTACAAAAATAAATAAATTAGAAGAGCTACGTTGAACTAGCTCTGGCCGAATAGATCCTATATTGATTGAGATGCCTTTGCTCCTGCGTTAACTGAAAAATGATCGTTAATTATGTTGGAAATCAATCAATAACTCATTTTTTCAGAAATATATACGTATATAGGTTTTTTCATTGAGAAAACATATTACAGTGTTGTTTCGGAAAAAAATACACTTTGATAGGCCATTGAAATAAAAACAATTATTTAATATTATTAAGTTTAGTATTGCAATGATGACTTTCATTATTTAGACCACATTTTCAAAATTTTTGATTATATTTATGAATTCTATCTTCAGCTACAATTTAGTTTTAGTCGCATAATCAATTTAAAAATACCCGCTTCAAGTGAACGGACATGCGCATTACTTATCACTTTTAACCCTCCCTCATAAGGTAGTTTTTGTTTGAATCAGTATTTCTCTTTCCGAACGCATCCTTTCGTTTCTAATTTCCTAATACAGCTGCGGGTCTAAAAAGCCGCTGCGTTCATAGTTAAATTAAATTAATAAATTGATTTCTTAAATAAAACATGTTGAGTAAAATATTTGTTTTATAAAATTCCATTTACCGCAATAAATAATTAATTAGTGTTATATTGTAAAAATAAAATATTTATTTTATTTTATTTTATTTTAAAATATTTGTTATTTTTACAATATAACAATATTACAATTTACAATATAACTCTATTGGAATATTTTAAAAAATAATGTTATATGCCTCATCAACATTTTTTTTGGTTGATGAAAAAAATGCTCTTTCTACATATATAAGCAATGGCCCAGTTTCACAAGTTATATTATCAATATCAACACATATATTGTTGACCAACTGTTGCATATTGTCTATCAAAACAATGGTTTTCTAAGTTACTTGTTCTACAACTTTGTTTTAACTCTTTATTGCCAACTTTTACCAGAACCTCTGACAAAGATAGAGCGAAACTAGGGAAACTCTCTTGTTAGTTTTAAGCTCTAATTTATTAACGCGTCGCAAAACGTTTCATCTTTTTAGGCAAATTTTTGTTTCTTTAATGTCTGTTCATTTAATTCGGGTCGCAACTAGTATGATTTGACAGAGATCTCAATAAAAATAGAGTTGTGCATTTATCCCATTAGGTCGTATATTTTTATTTTAATCGTGTAATCGTCACTAATCCCTAAACCTTACATCGATTTAGTTTATTAACTAATACAATGTATAAGTCGGCATCAGTAATCTTAAATCCGTAATCTATTTACTCGAAAGTAACGTCACGACTCTGTTCAAATTTAATAACGTTTTGCCAAATATGTTTTGACCATAATATACAACATCCAAAACTAAGTCTGACCAAATCTGAATTTGAACATTACTATACTTTAAAATTTATTTACAGATTAAAAAAATCTGTAACTTGACAAAACACAACTATAAACATATTAATTATTATGTAATTGAATTACAATATGCTGCTTCTAATAGTGTATTCTTCCAATGAGAATCGTCCTCCTAGATCTGTATTAAATACTTAATGTATTTGAGGTACTGAACAAGATAAGGATTAATGTTTTTTGCTAATAAGCTTACAAAAACAATTGTTTTTCTTTTAAAAAGTGAAGGATAAATATGTTTATTCTGGGGTTACCTCTAAGTTTTGTAGACCTATATAAGAAAGACAATTTCATCATACACTATATATTTTCTATATTTACCCTTCAGCCTGCATTTGCAATGTTATTTCCAATAACGTGTTTACAGAATTTAATTTTAGAGTTACAGTT